ACAATATGTCTTAATACAATTATCATTGCAGTGGAGTTCTGCAATAACGTGGTACAGTCACCAGCAAACGGATAAGCCGGCATAAACCGGCATTAAGCGTCATTGTGTTCATCTCGCTATTGTCCAGTAACGTCCGAACTCAACATCCGATCTCAAAAGCCTTGCCTTATTTGCAGTATTTTAATTATGATTTTCCGTCCGTTTGGTTACATGATCTGTTCAAGCGCGATACAGTAATTTTTGTGTCGCTTTCAAAGTATTTACCCAATTAAAGTAATTTGCGTATCGATCGCGAGGATCGGACTGATAAACACTCTGTTATTCAGCCTTTTATTTTGTCAACAATCTTAGCAATGTTTTTTTTTTATTTAATTAATCAGAAAACGAAATGAAATTACTTAATTAGTGAGCGACGACGTTAATTAACTGAATAATGGCTCAGCAATTTCGGATTTCGTACCAACATGACATCAATTGCCTTTGAATCGTAGTTCGAAATTAATACCACAACCAATTAAATTTACAACCATTTAAGATGAGCCAAGCACACAGAGATTAAATTGCTTTGTCAAACAGTAGTGATTTTAGTGGAGATAAAGTCTATTTTAGTTTCGAGATAATTCAGCTATACCGATCTAAATTCGAATACAGAACTCGGAAATATAACCTTAGGTACAGTTTATTTAATATATATAATAATAATCGCGAGCATCGGTGGCTCAGGGGTCAAACACTTGACTTGCAATCTGCAGATCCTAGGTTCAGATCCCGTCATGTGCCAATGTGTTTCTCGATTTCCGATTTACATACGAACATTTATCCGACGTTCTTACGGTGAAGGAAAACATCGTGATGCAACCTACACATATCTGAGAAGAAATTCAAAGACATGTATGAAGTCAACCAACCCGCAATTAGCCAGCGTGGTTGACTATGGCCTAGTCACCCCTAACTTGGGGTAGGCTCCGAGCCCCTCGGTGGGGACGTATAGTGAGCTGATGATGACAGTTTATTTTGGGATGTTAGAAAAATAAATAAAATGTTTTACTTTTATTCTTTACTGGAAATAGTAAAAGTTATTTTAAAACCCACGCAATTGTAAGTAACGTGTTGATAAATATTTATTGCAATTGGATGAATGATATGGATTTTAATATTCAATCAACATTTTATATGCTAATTAATGATGCCACACAGACGGCGCAGAGCCGCAAAGTGACTCAATATATTTATAACAACAAAATATAACTGTTTGACATTTTTAAAAATCGTTATTTGTTCTCGATGATTCCTAAACCTGGTGTGCCAGGATTGAGCCAAATGTAAGTCAGTGGTCTTTGCCTACCCCTCTGGGTTACAGTCGTGAGTTGTTTTTTGTTGTTGTTGATTCTTAAACTTATAATGAGATTCTAACTAAATTTTTAAAGGTCTCGTAAAAATCCAAAGTAAACAATATTTTTTACAATTTTAATGAAGGTCTTTGTTTTGACATTTTTTTTTTATTTTGGGCGTTTTACTTTATCTACCTTTGCAGCGCAGGTTGAGTTAAACTCGTATTAATATAGAAGTGCAAAGCATTGCGTCACCGCAATTGCCGTGTGACACATTTTCAACAATATACCAGCTTTGCGACGCCGCAAAGACAGTGTGGCATATCTTTAAGGAGGTACATAACACCGGTTGTAACAATATTATGATAGTTGTTTGATTATTTAAGTAAATGTCACTGTAATGAAAATTATAATTTCAATTATCACGAAACGAGCGAGTGTGTATGTTTGTGGGTATGCTTTGCGCATTCTTATCTTCAATACCAGCGTGTATGCTTATGTGAATAGTTGCGTACCTAATGACAATTATATGCATTAAACTATTATTATTATTCACATTTAAAATGCTTACTAACTTCTCCTTTATAATATAACAAATTATTTAAAAGTAACATTAAAAAAATAATTAAATTAACTCAGTAAGAAAATCAATATCAAAATAGATTTTAATTTTTGAGTTTATTAATAAGCTAAAAAAAACTATAAAACTATTTTCCTAACAATATAACGTACACTACCTTGTTATTTACTGACAGTACCTATACTCGTAGTTGAAATACTTATTTTTAAACTTTAAAATAAACACATTGAAAAAATAGGCGTTTTTTATTATGTTTTAATTCACATATAATAATTGAAGCCGTCATTTATAATTCATGTTAATATTTTACGGGACATGAATTGTGTCGCTAATTAAAAAAAATCGAGATATTCGAGGAATTCAATAAAACAGAGAGCGTAATTAATTGCGTTCGGCTACCGGAAAGTGGTTGACAAAATTTTATAAATGAAAAATGATGTTCGTTCGTAAAATATGCACTTCCGTGAATCAAAATTCGTCTCTACGAGTTACAATCAGAAACAATAGACTCGTCACGTTGGAATACCTGCCGGCATTGCATGTAAATTCCATACAGATCCTATTGAAATCGCAGCGAAGAGAAAGGAACTCCCAACAAATTCATATTTCAAACACGATTCAGTGCATAAAAGTTAATTTCATCGTTGGACTATTTTGTACTGGACGGCCGGAAAAGTTGAAGTCGAGTTACAATGGTGACGTCTGGTGGAAATAATAGAGTTGACTAAGTAATGCCCTTTGCACGTTCACATCAAAGTGAATGAAACGCGATAAAAAGCTTTTTTATCTTTTACTTGTATTTGTGCCGTAGTCGCGTTTACAACTTTGGGATTCATACGAGTAAAGCCTGTGGCACACTGCACGCTGTACTTCTCTGATACATGTAAACAGAACGCTGAGTTCAAAATTTACTTCGCTTTGGCTACGCTTACGTGGCTGTGTGTTACATACTGCCGAAACATAAAATTGTTTTATTTGTTTCATACGAAATTGCGAGCTGCCATATTTTCATGGTAATTGTACAGAATTCGGAAAACTTATTATACGACGTAATATTAATATATGACGTAAATTAATGGTACAGAGCTTTTTAATAAATGTAATTTTGAATATTGCTGTTTCCACCTACTGACGTTTATCCTCAGAATCAACTATATTTACTAGGATCTTTTTATATTACATATTAAATGGGAGCATACATTCGGGAATATGATTAAGACTATTTGAATCTATATTTAGTCTTGGAGCTATGCGTTATTACATACAGGTACGTGTTACCAAAATAAACTGAAACTAACTGGAACTTGCTTAAGCTCGGATTCGCAACGGCGCAAACGAAGTGAATAGCTCTCGGGCGCGAATACAGAATTGTATGAAACAAACTAGACTTAATTGCAAAATACATCTCATTGTTCGCGGTTGTTTATTTTACAAAAAAGATATCTACCATAAATATATTTAAAATAAGCATTGCTGTTTGTTTATTCTTTATAATCGCTATCGACGATTTATTGACAATTAAAATAAGAGGGTCAGTATGTAATATCGAAAAAAAAAGATATGTCCTACTCATGATGTGTTTACGTAGTTAAAACGCAAAACCCAACTATTAAAACTTTTGTCTGCCTATCTGTCTGGCTGGCTCTTTGTATGTCTGCCCGCATATTCCGGTTTGTTACGAGTACTCTGCGCTGTGGAAGTCGCGGGCGACCGCTACTTCGAATATGAATGTCAAGGTTAAGCGAAATCCTTCCTCAGTGTACACGCGGTGAAAATAGAAAACAAGAAATACGTCTTCTGTGCAACGAACGTACTAAATACTCTTTACTTTAAAAAAAAAATTACTTTGAAAAGTGACATGGTTATTATTCTTGAAATTATTAAAATTTGTTTTTAAAAGTACTATTAGTTCCTTTATGTTTTGCCTCATATCTGTGAAAAATATCGCAGAGCTTTTTAATTTTCCTTCATTCGATGCATTAATAAAGAGACAGTAAGCCCGATGTTAATAACAATGACAAAAAAAACAAAACCTCTCTCTGAAGCTAATAAAGTCATTTTAAAATGAAGAAGTATCTCCAAGCGGGATACGGTTGTAGTTTTTACATGAAAATGTACGCTGCGAGTTTTATTACCTTTGGTGAAAAGAAAACTGTCTGATTTTTAAATTAAAAGATAAACATTTTTTATTTTTATTTCCGCATAAATAATTTTTCGAGAAAATCAGCACCCTGTATTCTGGGGGAAATTCAGTGTCATATGAGACTTTCCACGCTACAACCGTTTCGATAACAAACATGGGGTACAACAGGGTAGTGTTGAAAAATCTCCAAGAAACGCTGAAAACACACAACACAAAATGTGTTACCCAAGGGCTACAAAACAATACGATAGCAGCTTATTAATTAAAAAAAAACATAAGCATCATGAACACTATAATACCGATCATAAGCACTAAACAAATAAAAAATCAATAATCCAGCAAGCAGGGCATCATATAGATGTCTCTTTACACGAGATTGCCTTTTCGACGTGTCTATCCTTTGTGAAACTCTACAAAGGATTGGATTGACAGGGTCATTAAAGCGTTTCATTATCGTATGGCTGAATGCAAGAGCAGATTAATAACGCTGGAGACTGATAAAGACTAAATTTTAAAGGTAGTTAAAATATAACTATCTTTAAAATCGTAAGGTGAAATATTCCGTTTATGTGCGACTCCTCCTCCATCGATTAACCGTAGGCATCTGCAATTGCGGATGTCTACGAGCAACGGTCGCTTCGCCATTTCGGCGAATTCAGGTGGCCGCTAAACTTTAAATTCATTATGATAAGCATACAAAACATGTAACATAATAATAAAATTAAAAAAATATATATTTTTAATTTAATTTTCAGGTAATTTTTTTTCTGCATTCAGTTCTTCCAAAGATATCCCTTCTAGTAATAAAATATCAACGGCCAGATATACAATTATGTCACAGGTATTTTAATTATGTACATACTTTGAAAGTCAAGGTCGCATATAACAATACAAACACAGCATGATTAACAAATATAAACATAATAAAATTAATTAAAATACTTACCCTTTGAGGGTTGGAACATCTGGGGGTAGCGTTGGCTCCATTGCAGATTGCGAATAAATCGGATAGGGTAAACTGTGACTTATTAAACTCTGATCTGGATAAGGCTGCGCCTGCGCAGGTCCAACTGAATCGGGCCTCAGACTCTGACTTAGAAAGGGCTCCGTTTGCGCAGCTCCGTCTGAATCGGGCGGTTTGGGCGCCGGTCGATCCTTGTGCACTTCACAGGAACCGTAGCATTTGTCTTGAGGTACTGGTGGCCACTTTTTCACTATCGGCCAGTCCATAATGTGCGCACTTCATGAGCGACGGCGGGCTACTGCGCAGCAAGGGTGGTGCATCACTAGCCGCTAGCGCACTGACCCCCGCAACACCCCCCACCGCACCTCACCATACCTCGCCCGTGCAACGTGCTAATAACTGCAAATCGCGTTATTCGCAACTATATTGTTGCGCGAATTATGCAAGCCAACTAACAAACACATGTCTTGACTAGGCTATTAATTAATCAACTCTCTCTATCTACCTATATGCGATGACGTCCGACGGAACGATCATTTCGGAAGTAAATACTCACTATGTATGTACCCACTAACGACGTGCCGCGCTTTTCCTCAGCAATTGTTTAGCGCAATATTATTGCACCATGAAATTGGGAATATTTTTTTTCTTTTTATTTTAATGACAAATGGCATGACCTTGCTCCAGTACTCCTCTACGATGACATTTGTTTTAGTACATTAGACATATTGTCATCCCTTTCATTCCCTTTAATTAAACAAAAACAACAATATCCATCAGTAAAAACCACAGTTAAGATGGCAATTAATTAAGTTTACACTTTTATCTTATATATATAAAAGAAAGTCGTGTTAGTTACACTATTTATAACTCAAGAACGGCTTTACCGATATGGCTGACAATTGGTGAGGAGGTAGCTTAGAGCCAGGAGACGGACATAGGATACTATTTATTCTTTTTTTCTTTTAATTTATGCCTTGAAGAGCTGCTCTTTTATTTATTTAACTTATCTACATATTAAGATTTTTTATATATCCACGCGGACGGAGTCGCGGGCGACAGCCAGTTTGTATTAAAACAACAATTTTCCCACTTTCCAACACCGATATAAACTATAAAGTGACCTTCAAACGTTCTCATATCTAGAGTAGATATTAAATATTGACCCCGTTATTATTATAAGATGCCGTGCAAATAACGTTCGAAAGGTCAACTAACTTGTCATAGATAACATAGTTACTTATGAATGCACATTTGGTTAGTCCACCATTCGATACTATTTATAATAAAGCTATAATATTGGCAACGCTACGTTTATCAATATAGCTAGGTTCATATGCTGTAACAATAAACAAAATGTAGATAAATAATCTGACATCTTTAGTCTAGAGTCGGAAATAGTCGTGGCTTGTTGCCAGGGAAATAGTAGACTTCAAGTTTGTACAACGGTCGAAAGTGGTCTTCGATAATCATGCATTGGATTGTGCCTAGACAGTGCAACATTGCAACAATGTATCAACATAAAATGATACAGAAATCATTGCAGTTATCTCGAATGTTCGATTCCAACATAAACAAAGTAATCAAAACAACATGTAGGAATTAATCTCCTCTTCCGTACTATAAACATACTATAGATTTATTTGTTATTGCAATAACTACTTATATAAAATAAAGGCAACTATTTCGGAGTTGAACATCAAAAGGTTGTAGCTTAACATTCTATATAAAGATTTATGTGTGATTATAAACACTTAACCAATAAATTTAGTATCGTGATCTCATAATTGCTGTGGGCAGATATACGTCTCCACTTAGGAGCTTAGGACCTACCCTTAGTTAGGGGTGACTTGTGACAGTTTTCGTTAACACATAACCTTGAATTTCTTCCAAGATATGTTCAGGTTGCATTACGATTCTCCTTCACCCTAAGAATGCTGGATAAATACAATAACAACATAACTCACGCCCTTAACCCAAAGGGGTAGACAGAGACCACGGACACTCGCTTCGACTACATTCATACATCAACGCATACTGGCACGTTGGTTAATTGTACGAACCTATTATATATATTTAAAATCATAAAACGCATTGGTATTAGTGAAGTTCGAACCAAGTCCTTGAGATTGCAAGTCATCAATACTGTATGTAATGTTTTCAATGAACTTCTACAGTATAATTACTATCAGTTCGCGTAAGTTTTAATTCTTACCTTCCCGTTCTATGAAACTTACAATGCAATTCTCACAATTGACCAATTGTACTAATAGTTATAAAACATCCATAAAATTAACCTTATTTTTATGTTGCTTACATTTTATTTTGATACGTAAGCTTTAATATAAAAAAATATTAAACATCAGACCGTGAGACAGCTTACTTTGTGACCGTGAAATTCTACAGCTGATACACTCGTATTAAAATTAATCAATAAGTTTACAATCATGCTTAATTTTATAATAATACTAGCTGTTGTCCGCGACTCCGTCTGCGCGGAATTTTTAAAAAAAGTTTAAGTAGCCTATAAGTTCAGACTATGTTCTACATCTATGCCAAATTTCAACGATATCCATGCATCTGGTGATACCTTTTAATATTCATCCATTCATCCAAACATTCATTTATAATATTAATAACATTTAATAACGGAATTTACATTAAAAATGGTAACAATATTAAGAAAAATAACAATGGAATTATGACAAGTGAAAAGAAAAAGTAATCAATATTTCTTACCGGCCAGCTACTAAAGTACAACTGGCCAGTACTCTTGTTACAAAGAGTTTGTATATTTCTTCAAAGGGATTAAAAAAGATGCTAATACATTTATATTTAAGAATTTCGACAACATAAACTCATCGTGATACACTAATATTACATTGAAATTTGATTAAAATTGTGTCGGAAGATGCAATTAGTTTGCATTTTCAATTAATATACTTCGAAGACTCGAGAATACAAAAGTTCGTCTTCGATGCAAAATATTTGATCGAAAATTGCAAAGTGCAAACTCTATTACTTACGCTGCTACACAATAAAACTTTCTCAGTATTGGAAACTGATCGCCGACGACGAATATCAATACTCCAGCAAATAAAATGAAATTAATGTTTGCGAATACACAGCCCTTCGTTTTTCTTTACCTATTCTGCGTTTAATGAAATATTATTTTCTTAATCTATAGTATATAAACAGTTATGTGTAATAAAATAACGTACAAAATATATATAATATTATTTCTTGATGAATTATTTTAGAGAATATTAATAATTTAGTCGATATAAAGTTTTTACCGACTCCTTTATCTATTATCGCAAAAAAAACATACCATAGTTCATAATAAGTATTAACAATAGAAATCCATGTCGAAAAAGTTTTGCTTCATTGGCTGATAATGTTGTATTTTTTATTTAATAATTACCGCTGTCTAGTTATGATAGCCTAGTACTTGATTCGGTTGTTAAGTACTGAGAAATAGTAGGAAGAAAGACTGGTTGGCCAGTGGTATGCAACCTTTTTATTTAGAAAATAGAACTTATTTTTTAAATAAAAGCATTTAAAATATTTAAAAGTTTTTAAAATTTTGCGTAAATTAAAATTACGTTCATCTGAATGGTATTTCAATGTATGTGTGTTCTCATGCAAATATTTAGTTAGCATCTTATCTTATAAACAGTATTATTTACTGTTCCCTGGCATAATACAGTCACATCAATGCAAATGTAAGAAAGACTGATGTGGAACAAACAAGTTGCCGACGGCAACGTTTCCGTTACACAGTTTTGTCGCCGATGTTCCGCGAAAGCTACTCATTTCAAATTTAATTAAGCAAAGTTTGCTACGTCAAAATCCATTCCTCAAAAATTGGTACAGTGACACGGTGACATATTAACATCGTAAATTCCAACAAGCATATCCGAACCGATGATAGTGACACTACTATCACGGTAATTTATTTAAGAAAATGTAAAATCTACTTTGGCATAGAAAATGAAATAAATAAAAAATGATAAGATAGGTACAGTAGGACAAGGAGCTTGTGACACTTTTTGTCATTGACAGGTAGCTGTCATAATTTAGTGTGACATATATTTACCGGGTCTGACAATTTTTCAGGTTTATAAAAGCGACACTTCATTTTTTGTCAATTCTATGCAGGTAATAAAGTATCGCAGACTTGCCGACATCTGATGGCAATGCGACTGACAATTGCAAATGCAATTTGCCGCGTCCTTACAAATTTTCGTAGGCAAATTAAAAGCTAGTGGAATACACGATCAGGCACTAATAGCCATAATCATGAATGTAAGAGAAGTGTGGATACACTAATGCTATATATACACCCAATTTGCGATCAGTAGATTCACCTTAAGCCCCTGTCTGCAGGAGGGGTCTCCGCTTCCGACGGCAACCCATTATCAAACGATAGACAAGTCTGAATTTCAATGACCATACGCAGAGTTGTAAATATATTTTGAGGGTTCCCTTAATAAAAATTAATATTTTCTGAATACGTTAATAACATATTCTGTAACATTTCCTAACGGTGCTCGTAATTACGACATTTTTACCTTTAAAATAAATTAGTTGCTTATTGGAAAAGCTTACCTGATGAAAATGCATTCCTAGAATTTATCTGCCGACGGGAGGATGTGGGGGATGGGGTTCACCCCATATTGAGTGACCTGGGGAGATAGGGGCGGAGCCTGTGGATAGCTGTAATACTCTCGAGGGAGTAGCACATCCGATATCTCTTGACCCTTCTGCCCGGGCTCGGCGTAGTAACAAGCGTTCTACATTCGTCTACGAATTCCTTGAATGTATTTTATGCCAATCGATAATAACGTATGCTATACGAAATATTTGAAAGCATTAAATGTTTTCATATTATTATTAGGGTAAAACTCATGAATCAGAAATAAAATAGTATGTTAGTGTTAAGAGTTTTGAATTTGAACTTAACGGATTTTCTTACACGATTAACAGAGGCACCGACTTCTTAGCATGAATATTTGCGATATTCATTTTCGTAACGTTGTCGACAAAATACTTATTGATCGATTACGTTAAAATACTTACTTTTTCGGAAATTTTCGTGCTTAGGCACTTAATTATAAATACTTATGTAATAATTAGTATCATGTTTATAAATTTGTTCTTAGTGAAAACGACATTCTTAGCTACGTATTTTGTAAGGAGACAGTTTTGGATCGTTATCACTTAGGTTTTAATATGGTGATGGTTGAAGAGCAATCGACACAGCGTAGGTAGGCCTCCCGCACGATGGACCG